CACTTCCAGATCATCTGATTAAAGATCTCACACGTGATTCTACATTCTACCAGCTTACTATGTCATGAGAAAAACGACACATGACACACGTAGAGTAAGAACTGCTTACACTTCCAGACCATCTGATCAAGTGATTCTACATTCTACTAGCTCACTATGTCATGAGAAACACGACACATGACAGATTCCACACGTAGAACAAGAACTTCTTACACTTCCAGATCATCTGATTAAACTTCTCACAAGTGATTCTACATTCTACCAGCTTACTATGTCATGAGAAAAACGACACATGACATACGTAGAGCAAGAACTTCTTACACTTCCAGACCATCTGATCAAGTGATTCTACATTCTACTAGCTCACTATGTCATGAGAAACACGACACATGACAGATTATACACGTAGAACAAGAACTTCTTACACTTCCAGATCATCTGATTAAAGATCTCACAAGTGATTCTACATTTACTAGCTCACTATGTCATGAGAAACATGACACATGACAGGTTTTTCACGTAGAGTAAGAACTTCTTACACCTCCAGATCATCTGATTAAAGATCTCACAAGTGATTCTTCATTCTACTAGCTCACTATGTCATGAGAAACACGACACATGACAGGTTCTTCACGTAGAGCAAGAACTTCTTACACCTCCAGACCATCTGATTAAAGATCTCACAAGTGATTATACATTCTACTAGCTCACTATGTCATGAGAAACACGACACATGACAGATTCCACACGTACAGCAAGAACTTTTTACACTTTCAGACCATCTGATTAACGATCTCACAAGTGATTCTACATTCTACTAGCTTACTATGTCATGAGAAACACGACACATGACAGATTCCACACGTAGAACAAGAACTTCTTACACTTCCATACCATCTGATTAAAGATTTCACAAGTGATTCTACATTCTACCAGCTTACTATGTCATGAGTAACACGACACATGACAGATTCCACACGTACAGCAAGAACTTTTTACACTTTCAGACCATCTGATTAACGATCTCACAAGTGATTCTACATTCTACTAGCTTACTATGTCATGAGAAACACGACACATGACAGATTCCACACGTAGAACAAGAACTTCTTACACTTCCATACCATCTGATTAAAGATCTCACAAGTGATTCTACATTCTACTAGCTCACTATGTCATGAGAAACACGACACATGACAGGTTCTTCACGTAGAGCAAGAACTTCTTACACCTCCAGACCATCTGATTAAAGATCTCACAAGTGATTCTACATTCTACTAGCTTACTATGTCATGAGAAACACGACACATGACAGATTTCACACGTAGAGCAAGAACTTTTTACACTTTCAGACCATCTGATTAAAGATTTCACAAGTGATTCTACATTCTACTAGCTTACTATGTCATGAGAAACACGACACATGACACACGTAGAGCAAGAGCTTCTTACACTTCCAGACCATCTGATTTAAGATCCCACAGGTGAAGCTTACTATGTCACGAGAAACACGACACATGACACGCGTCGAGCAAGAGCTTCTTACACTTCCTGACCATCTGATTTAAGATCTCACAGGAAAATTGTGTTCATCAAACTTAATCTTTTAAAAACACTCTATTTATAGAACGTGCGTTTTTTTTTCTTTTTAGTATTAGGGGGGTTGGGGGGGGGGGGGGGGGTTAATGCGTGTAATTGAACAGCTTAAAACCACATATCAGTATAAAAGACTAATGATAAATTTATGAGAAAATTATATATGCAATAATAGTATGTCTTCAATATATATACAATTGATAAAGGAAAATACATTTTGAAACATGGATTTAAATGTAATTATTGAAATTGAGATATATAACTATATATGGTAATTTCATGGAAAAAAGTTGACAAAAATTATATGTTCTTCATAATTCAGCTGTTTTAAGAAATGACACCAATAAATTATTTAAATTGAAATTGCATGTTTAACAGTAAGTAATAAATGCATTATTGAACAATAAATTAGATAGCTATACAACTTAAAAACAAAAATGATATACTATTCACGATGCTTAATAAATCATATAAACTCCTACACTTTCATTAGTAATTTTTATTTCAAATATATTTACTGATTGCTCGATAAAAAATGTCAAATAAAAATAATTTGCAACTGTTACGCCTTTAATAGTATCCGTGTAGGTTAAATGGTATTACAAGTAATAACAGACAATATAAAACACTATTATAAGTAATTGATTGGTGTCCTTCTTGTTTTTACCCTCCCCATGTTAATTTGGTGATTTCTTTTACTTCAATATGTTTGTTTCTTGTCAGCTTTTATTTTTTGAATACATGTACAATAATTAATGCATCAATTTAGAAAAGGTTAAGGTTTAACAATTATTGTAACACCTAACTTAAAAGGATCAACTGTTAGACACACTACCAAAGTAAAACACACAACGAAAACAAATGACAATTTGTCAGCTTTTATATCTAACACCGTGCATAGTAGTAACGGGTCCTTTGTTATTGGGAATACAATGTATGAAGAAAATAATTACAAAATAAACTGCTAACACAGAGATATGTCTCGCCTTTTTGTTATTGTGATAGTAAATGTAAATGTTGAAATTAAAATAGCAATATTTTAACATGTAAGTTATGCAAAATATTCAAAGTCAATGAACCATGACTGAAGGTACAGAGCCAAACAATTTCAACGGAAATGAGATGTGCAAATGGTAATACATATGCATCCCAAATGTCATTGACCTACCACTACATGTAGCGGTTCCCTATAAACTGACCTAATCACAAACTAAGCAAAAGTTTCAAAGTCAATAGACCTCGACTAAGGGGACAGGGCCACATAATCTCCATAGAAATGAGATGTGCAAATGCGAATACAACGTTGATGAACAGATACACGAGAGACAGTGTTGATTATGTAACAACAAACAGGTCGAAGATGAAGTCCATTTCTTAACTGAATGTGATTACCATACAGAACTGAGAAGGTAACTCTATTTAAACATACCGGGATTACAATATTTTTTTAATCTACCCAAATGTGAACAGTTAATTCAATTGATTTTATATTTTCCTAGACAATCTGCAAAATATTTATGCAAATCTTTTACAAAACGCAGACAATTCCATCTACAATAACACGTAACTGTACTACTTTATTGATCATTTGTTTGTGCTAATTTCATTGAAGTGACATATAGGTCCAATGGGCCGGGTGTTCTTTTATTAATTGCCCTAAAATACATTTATTGCAATACAATTCTACACATGTCACTATAATATTTGATTTAATTTGATTTTTGGTGTTTTTATGCCACTTTTAAGCACCGCTTTTTGGCTATTTCGTGGCGGCCAGTTTTTATTGGTGGAGGAAGCCGGAGTGCCAGGAGAAAACCACCGACCTTGGATAGGAAAACTGACAATTCTAGTCAATTAAGATTGGAGTCGAGTACACCCGCACGAGCGGGGTTCGAACTCACAACCTCAGTGTTGACTGGCTTGTGATCACAGTAGTAACTACTTAGACCACTCGGCCACCGAGGCCCCTGTCACTATAATAAACAATATACTAACTTACTTACTTACAACCGCATACCAAATATCATTGATCTACCACTAGTGGTTCCCCATAAACTGACCTAATCACAAACTAATACATCTAAACTATGCAAAAGTTTCAAAGTCAATAGACCACGACTGAGGGGACAGGGCCAAATAATCTCCATGGAAATGAGATTTGCCAATGCTAATACAACTGCATATAATATCATTGACCTACCGTTAGTGGTTTCCCATAAAACTGACATAATCACAAACTAATTTAGAGATAACTGTATTGTATATGAAGCTTTGCGGACGTCCATCGGTAGTTTTACTGTCGCAAAATGTCGGCTTCCTTGGTTACAGACGAGAAGATAGAGAATTTTACGCTTATTGTCATCCAATCAGAACCATTTATACAAAATAATTGCATTAGAATACATTGTTGACGTTGCCGCCGATGCATACCTATGTCTCGCTTTTTGACTCCGTCAAGGCGAGAAAAAAAAAGTACAAGTAAATTTAAATATTACGCGGATGTTTAAAGCAGTTAGGCAGGAAATACTGGTTTTTATTTTGAAAATCTTGAAAAGATATTAGCTCGATAATTATTTATAAAATATGAAAAAAACGAAAGCGTCAAAAAGCAAGGAAGTGTAAAAAGCCAAAGTTTTACCATTCTATAATATCTTTATCCCTGTTGTAAAAGTATTTTTGTAATCAAAATATCATTTAAATATCTGACGTCAATGCACAAGCTACATATCGAACTAAACATTTAAGCATGATGCTCTCCAATGTATATTTAAGCCCCGAAAAGTACTTAACTGATTAACAACAAATGGTTAGGTTTGCGTATACAATCAAGGGCTATGGGGGTTAAGCATTCTCTTATTATAAATAAACATCAAACGTTTATCATGACATATATGATTAAGCGGTCGTTGATGCGGACACCAAGCAATAAAAAAAAAGCGTTTTTTTTAAATTCTGTATCGGTTTATTTTTGGGTATTGCACAAGCCGTGTGTTCCTGTACTTTTTTACGTTGCCCATATGAAATCTTCTGATTTGTATTGTGATAAGACGATAAAATGTTAACGTTTTCAAAGTTTTCGTTTTTGATATTAATTTTTAGCCGAAATATCGAGTGTGGACAATAAAAATATTGGTAACACTCGGCTAAATAAAAAATTAAAGTCACAACAGAATATTTTCATAGACCTTTTACAAACTGATACACATTTTTTTTCTCTTTGTTTTGTTATTCTTTGAACTTTGTGCCTGAAGCATAAAATGCAGAACATACTTAAATTGTAAGCAGGTTAATTTTTTATCTATTGTATACAATTATGTAACAGCAGTGGCGTAGACAAAACATTTCCCATTGCGGCGCTGCAATACACTCACAAATGGGACGACATCCTGTATCCAGAACGAGGCTATTCGGATCTGTAAGCTAGCAGATGCGACTTCATTGCCTAAGTATTAACTTATCGCAACAAACGAAAACAGAAATAACACGGATATTTATTGAAGCGTAAATAAAAGTGAACATACCTGTAAACTTACCAGTGAATGAACGATGATTTGAATATATTAATTTTGAAAATGACCTTAATAACATTAAAAAAAATAATCAGCGTGCTGCATTGTAAACAATGAGAAAGGGTAAGTAAACTATTTATTTTTATTTTGATATTTCCATTATATTCATTAAGTCAGTTTTTATGGCACCGTTACCGATGATATTTAAAGTCAATTTTTATTGTATCTTTGGTATAAATGTTGCTTTTATATTCATCTAAATATATATTTCTCTGTATGTATTGCATTCTAGCTATTAAATGATTCATATATATAAAAATTATTAAAAATTAACTTTTAGATTTGAGAGAGAAGGGGAATATATAAATAGACGTGAGAATGTTAACATTATCTACATGTAAAAATGACAACATACATGTTCTGTGTGATATGTTTATTGGTACTTTCTGCATGATATGACAAGCTAACGCAGTCAATCGGATGTACGTTATGTTCACAAACTAAAGCCATGCATAAACGTTAAAAGAAATAGTCAATTGATAACCAACTTGATCAAATGCAAACTATAGACTGTATTTCTATTACACTCATTCATATTAACGTTCAGTCCGACAGTTTATACAAATAGTATTGGATACACTTGTGTAACAATCATTAACGAATAAAACAAGAAAAATGGCAGCGCCATTTATATTCCTTAAATAGAAACGAAGGTCAACAGGTTATGTACATGACACAATTAATTATATCTTAACTGAAAATAATATTAAATCGGTCTCGACATATTTCTGTCTTATATGTCCTTTGTCTTCTTTTTCTTTCTTCCGTTTGAAGGCGTTGTCTGCGTTTTATTAATTATAATGTTTGTGCTTTTTGAAAATTGTTAACTCAAAATTTTAAATGATAGCTTCTGCTACAAGAAACCATTTTTTGGCAAGATGAAAAGGAGGTAAACCAAGGATTCAGTTCACATCTCATCTGTCTATGCATACAACAGATATATATGAGAGTGAATAACCAGAATTAAATGATTTAGATATTATCTATTACAAATAATGAAAATACTGTTTATTGAACTTATTGATGTTATAATGATATTTGAGATGACTATGATAATAATAATTATTATTATAGTATTATTATAATTATCATTTTTAACATTATTATTATCAATTATGGAACATCTTACTTTCTTCATGATAAGTATTTTTCTCATTTTCTTGCTTCAAGGTTGATCTTGATGTTTCCCTTGTCAATAATGACATTTTTACTTTCTTCGTTATGTTTTTTCTTACATTCAGATAAAGTCGGCTAACACCTACTTATTGTCAATGTAGATATTTGTTCTAAAAATAGACATTTAATACTTACCGGCTATGTTTTTATCAAAAACGAATTTCGTTCAAAACTCCGTTCCCTGGTGTTAACAAACAACATGCGTAATCGACGAATTTTTTAATGATTAAAAGATAAAAGAATATTTCCTTATATCTCACATTATTATTTCTTTTGTTATTAATTTAGGTGTAGGTGAGAATGGACTTCCCTGGCGAATACCTTTGATGAAATAAAGTTTAAACGTAATGAAAAGTCTGCGTATTATTGAGTAAGGGTTATAATATCATCGAATATAGATTTTTTTTTTTCGTTTGCTTGATTCGTAAATACAAATCTTACTATAACCTTCTTAAAGATTAAAGATTGTTTGTTTGATTAAATATTAAGCAGTCTGTACAAGAAAAAAAACTTTTTCTGATTGACAAGTTGTAGACAAAATTCATGTAGATATGTCAAAATCTGAATATAATTATACCACGTGATATCAAATATTACCTTTTATATTGTTATGGTGTCTTTCAGAATAGAAGAACAGAATAGATAATTAAGAATGATAGACGTACGTGTAATTGTGATCTTCTTTCTCCTTCCCTGTCCGCTAGTTATTATGTCACCCTTAAGAGGAGGAGAAGGTGAAAACGGGGAACAGTGTCCTGGTAATTATTGTTCAATGTTTGAAGGAATTTGTAAAAATGGTGGCACTTGTATAAGTAAAGGATGTAAAGGCGAATGTAAATGTACGAAAGACTTTACGGGACATAATTGTGAAGTACCGATTATAGCTTTAACAACATTAGCTCCAGAAAAGGAGACTGAAGCTCCTAAAAAGAAGGAAACAAAATCAACAACCGAAAATTCAAATGAAAAAATGAGTGTAATATTATCGTTATTCCGTATGATGTCTCGTCCAAGACCAGAGGTAACGAATCATATCGTGAAGAAAGAAAATGTTAAAAAATTGAGCAGCAGAAAAGATAGTGATAAGGATTCACAATCAGTTGATCGCAAACGAGAAAATTATCCATCCCGGTCTGAGCCACTATCCGAGAGGAAGCAAGACGAGATATCAAACGAAAAAGAGGTTTCAGATCGTTCAAAAGAAAGTCAAAGGATAAAACAATTAGACAAAAGTAACACCCAGGAGAATGCAGGTGAACCCGAAAGCAAATCACTTATTGAAGAAAAAGTTGACAAAAATATAGTTTCTACAAGTGAATCTGTTGATAAGAATGAAATTTCTACGGTAGAAAAGAAAATGTCTGATAAACATACCACAGAATTATCTTTAACGACGTCGGATACAGTGAAAATTAAAAACACGACTCCAATAACGACGACACAAGCAACTTTTTCTGCAATACAGGCAAAAAGTGTTGAGCAAGTCAATCAACTTACATCAACAACAAGTTCAGGCTTGATAACAACCTATCAAAGTACCCCTTCAACAAGAATTACAACTCCTGATAAGGCTGTGACAGAAAATCGTGTTAGAGAAGACGCCATGACATTTAGCGGAAAGACTAGAAAAGTTGTGCCAAAAGTTTTTCATGCACCGCATTGGCGATTTCTCCTTCCAGAAACAACAACAGTAAAAACTGATGTTCTAATAGATGAAAAAAAAGATGGACAACAAAAGCATTCGTCTTCAAATAATTCAGATATTCTGGCGCACATGGCAAATGCTGGCCATAAAGTTTTGAGCTCGACAACATTATCGAATATGTATCCTTCACATACACTACTAAGTAAATCACGAATTTTTGTTTCAACTGTTCCAAATAAGACAGCAAGAGATAGCACCAAGAAACCTCCAGTGACATTAGACAATGCAAGTACACAAAGTCAAATTCAAAATAATGGTGTTAAAACATTTAAGGAAAGAAGTACTTCTATTGATCTGGCAAAAGAAGAAATTGCATTGGCTGCTAAAAGACTTGTAATTGAAGACAATTCTGTGGTGACAACAACGTCATTACCAACTAAATCGATAAAAGCAGAAAAAACCGATGAGAGTAATTTAGTGACTGAAACACAATTCTCTTACGTCAAATCCACGTCACATATGTTAAAACAAGGCACACAAAATATGGCAACCAAAACCAGTGCAATATTACCAATACCCAACAAGTTAACGACATCGTCTTTGAAAAATCTTGAAACAACGACAGGTATTGGTATGTTAGGCAACTCGCCCATAACAGTCATAATGTCCACAACTAAATCTCCGTCAAAACCAAGATTAAGAAAATCTCTTCTTTCGCACAATTCTGGGGACATTCAAAATCATAAACGGACATAACATTAGAAAATAAGTGATTTAATGGATCAAAGAAATCGATTTCCATATTAATGACTGGTTGATGGAGACCAGAACAATAATAGTTATTTGTAATCTGTGATATAATTAAATGATAAATGTGACGGAAATCATTTAGTATGCAGCTAACTTTAGACAATGCTCGTTTATCTTTTGTATGTCTAGCGGGCCTAGACATCGTAGATATATACATCTTTTTTTTCCATCACATTCCACATTTATGAATCCAAATATGTTTTGTGCAATCATAATAGTATTGTAATTGAGTTTTAAGACTTTTTGTAAGGTATGTAATCATATTAAAACAGAAGTCATTTATTATGCTCATGGCATTTGTTACAACACTTTTTTTATATATATAGAAGTAATCATTAATCCAAAATGCGTCTTCTATATTTTATAGTATTATTATGTAAACAGCTGTTCCTTTAACTGCGAATTAATGTGTATTATCTTGTCTAGAATGCTAAGTTATCCGTGTGCGGAAATTGCAGATTACTACAATCTAGACATAAATGAAACATTAATCCAGAAAAGCTCTTCGGACGCATAAAATTAATAACGTGTTGTTTTCATTTTTTTAGACTGAAGATAATAAGGAGTGGCATTTGTTTTTATCAAATAACTTGAGTCTTTTCCTTAAATCATTAATCAGAAGCTAACTAAGAACAAAAAATCCCATTCTGTTTTTAATGTGTATTTGAAATTATTATAATGAACAACTGTCATACAACTCACCATTTACTTCGGAAAAATGGCTGTACCAAATCAGAATATGACAGTTATATTCCCGTCGTTCCGTTGGTTGATATTGTCGAGCGTTTGGTTTTGTCAGGTTTTATAGACTTCCCCTTTTTTATTTACCTTGGAGTTCGCTATTTTTGTTAATACATTTTTTATGTGCGAGATAAAAAGTATAAAAGATTATTCAGTAAAACTTTGGTAGTAAATTACGATTCTAAGATGAATATTCCAAACAAATAGAATCCTTGTAATTTACAATATTGTATTCGCATTTTGCTAACAGAAGATGTGTAATTATAAATGAGTGTATCGTACATATATATAACATATATTGTTAGACATACATACAGTGCTATTTAAAAGTAGATGGAATTGTTATTATTTATTCATTGTTGCTGGCAGCAATATAAATACATTTTATCAAATTCTTCAGTATTTCTGATGTTAGTTATTTTTACTTTGGCTGTTCAAAAGTGTCGTTTTTTTATGGTATATCTAATGACTGTTTATAGATAGAAAGCAGTTATAAAGAACAGTTTGATAACTAAAGGGATCATCAAGGCGATCATTTAGATCAACAAAAAACAGCAAAATAGACCTCAATACAAAAGGAGAAAAACAATGAAACGAGCACCAAAGGAAAAACAACATTTGTTTTATCAAAGAAAAAGATAACCTCCTATAAGTAGTTTATATATTACTCCCGGCTGAGCACACAGTAACGCTCTAAACGATATATTACTTTACGATCATGATTCAAAACTTAAAATCATTAAGTACCATATCGAGATTCCAGTGTTGACGTTCAATACTTCAGCATTTTGTAAAGAAGAAATACTTTAAAGCTATTTTAAAAACTAGGATATTGAAGAGCTTTTAATGGACAAATAAATGCAACAGTAGCATACCGCTGTTCAATAGTCATAAATCTATTAACCGATTAACCCTGTTGCAGTCAGTCTATATAAAAAAATATAATAGCCATCCATAACACAAAATATTTGATTGATGAAAAAATCACTTTATAAATTTCGTGCGTCCGACGTGCTTTCTAGGCTTACCTTCCTTAATCCTTTATATTTTAGAACCCGGGATATATAAAATTGAGAATGGAAATGGGGAATGTGTCAAAGAGACAACAATCCGACCATAGAGCAGACAACAGCCGAAGGCCACCAATGGGTCTTCAATGAAGCGAGAAACTCCCGCACCCGGAGGCGTCCTTCAGCTGGCCCCTAAACAAATATGTTTACTAGTTCAGTGATAATGGACGTCATACTAAACTCCAAATTATACACAAGAAACTAAAATTAAAAATGATACAAGACTAACAAAGGCTAGAGGCTCCTGACTTGGGACAGGCGCAAAAATGCGTCCGGGATAAACATGTTTTTTGAGATCTCAACCTTCCCCTATACCTCTAGCCAATGTAGAAATAACAAACGCACAACAGTACGCACAGCAAAACTCAGTTTAAGAGAAGTCCGAGTCCGATGTCAGTATTAATAGAAAACAAAAGAAAATAAACAAAATGACAATAATACATAAATAACAACAGACAACTAGCAGTTACTGACATGCCAGCTCCAGACCTCAATTAAACTGTTTGAAAGATTATGTCTTCGTCATATGAATACCAGGCACAATCCCTCCTGTAAGGGGTTTAGTATTATACCATCATAAAATATATGAGCAGAACATAACCCGTGTCATGCCAACAACTGGTTTTAGAATAAATATGTTTAATTCCGATGCAAAGACCCTATAAGTGAATCAATATTAAAGCCAAAATATGCAATCTTTAATGACCTGACAACAGTATCGTAACTATATCCCTTCTTAATAAGTATAAGTATGTATAAGTAAAAACGTTCGAGCTCTTTGACTCTTGAAAATAGGAAAGATGTATAAAATGAGGCGACAGTAGTTTGCCGATGTTCAAATTTCGTAAATCGACTAGGAATAGACGAATCAAGGTAACAAACAAAAATTAAGGGAATCGCAAAAACTCCTAAAGGAGCGAGACCGGGTGCGTTGACAGAGTAAGCGTCTCCTGCTTTGCATACAACACAAATATAAAATATATCACTGAACATTCATTAACTATAATTCATAAAAGGAAATTAACAGCTCATTTTAATACAAAATAAATGAATTACACCTTCAACATAAACTTATAATCGATAACGAGATTTGATGGAAATGCTAGGTGCCAACTGTGAAGCTTATGAAATAATTCAACATTGACTTTCTCTATATAATACACACTATTTAGTTGGTACACACATAAACATAAGAATCCGAACAAAGTATTCAACTTAAGTCGTATTCTAAACCAAATATTAAAGGAGTTGAGGATAAGAGTTAGTAAGTTTTTGGTCAAAATGCTTTGAAGCAAAACAATACCGAAACACTGATTGCCTGGTATATATAAAGTAACTAAGTGACAGCACTAAGGTTTGATGTTGATGTAGTGGTGAAATGCAATGGTAAAATTCTGATTTAGCTTCATAAAACAGTTGAGGTTTTTTTTTGTATCAACATACTTAAAGTTTAGTAAAAAATAAAAAAATCAAAGGGCTTCTAAAACAACGTTATGAAATAATGCTCAAAACCAAAAGTTAAAAAAATGGTATTCCCCTGATCAAAGTTAACTGCAGAGTTCCATTCACAGTTTCTATAGATAATTGGTGATTTGGACGCATTTGATTTTTTTAACTTATAAGCATGCTGCTTACAAAATGGTTTGGTACAATGATACATGTATGTCAAAAGTTAAATTTTTAAAAATATCTATCTTGTTTAAAACTGTATAGTCGTCAGTGCCTATTTTAGGGGAATTAATGATAACTTGGTTTACCGCGCACGATCTTTTGACAGTTAGGCCACGAACATATATGATTACCATTTCGGAGATGCATTTGTCATTGCATGATTTAGCATTAAGCTGTCAATTGAAACTTGCAGTGATTGACTGTTAATCATTTTTATCTTTGATCTGAGTTTATTAAATCGAAATAAACGAGAATGTGTTAACTCAATTATTGATTTTTATTACTGTATATGTTCATTATATAGTCTGTATATTCAAAGGGAAAAACAGTTGCATATGACAGTATCTTTTTATAATTTTCTTAGGTGAAACTAAATTTGATAGAACTATTAAAAGAGAGGCGAAGATACCAAAGGGACATTCAAACTCTTAAGTCGAAAATAAACTGACAACGCCGTGGCAAAAGAACGAAAAAATACTAAAAGACAAACAACAATTTACAAAACACAATACAGAAAACTAAAGACTGAACAACACGAACCCTACCAAAAACCGGGGGTGATCTCAGGTGCTCCGGAAGAATAAGTCTTTATAATGAATGCCAGCTTTTCCTGCGAATAGATTTGTAATAGACATTCCAAAAGTTATTTTTGTTGTTTAATACATCAATGGGCCCCTCATTTATAAATAAAGATAACGCCTAACTTTACATTAAAATTAATTTAACAATATCCTTGTATAGTTTATACGATTTCTAACAATAATTTCAACCTTTTTTAGATATGTATTTTAAAATATCACAATGAATGTAAATTAATTTCTAAAATGTTAATTTTCATTTGTGGAAGTCTGTGAGACCTAACCTACACATACAAAACAAAGCCATGTGCTTAATTATGAATTTCAGTATATACCGTGTTTTACAAATTGATTATGAGATAAAACTTTACCAAAACCAGATATTTTTATAGCGCTTATACTTTTCATTTACATTTCAACTACCTAGAAAATTAAACATTTAATATTAAAACTATATGTTTTTATAACAATATAAGAGAAAATAAATGCAAGAAAGAAATATTTTGAATAAGACATCAGACTGACACTGAATTATACTCCTTTGGCAAAAAAAAAGAATATTTCAAAACTCCTCAGGAATTGAGAATTAAAGTAGAACTATTAAGATACATCATCAAACATTTTTAAATAATTACAAGAGTTTGCATTTACAAAAGAATAAGATTGTATTATACAATTTGGAAATGATGAAACTCAACGGTAAAAAAAATAAAGTATGGCTTTCGCAAAATTATAATGAATCTAAGATTAAAAAATCCTTTAAAAATATGGAGTCTGTTTTCAAATTTTGCGAGGCTATAAGCGGCCTGTGCTTGTAAAGTTTTCTCTGTATTTAAGTTGGACACCTGTCTACATAAGATTGTAACGTATGTTTTATTTCCTCACGATCCCAATCTATTATAATATGTACATGAATATTAAGAAAATAAAGTGTAAGAAGGTATTGTGTCTGTACTTTTAGCATCGCTCGAACTCTTTTATACGATATCTTATAATATTACTTTACTTTTATATCTTTTTTTTGTCTATAATACGGTTATTATTGACAGAAACTTAGTTCAAATGTTCGATCTTCTGTTTATTCTTTGTTAAACAACAAATCGAGGTAAAAATGGGAGGGTTGAGTACATATAAAAACTCTTGTATTTTAATGTGTTGGTAATCTTTTTAATGGTTAGGGTAGGTTTTTGTGTTGTTTTTTAACGGAGGTATAAACATACCAAGGCGGCGATTAAAAACCACATGTTGTCACATGACAAACAATACCATAACAAAAGGAAAACAAAAAGAGACAAACAACTCTACACAAAACTCAATAAGGTAAAACTTAATAGCATTTGAAATTCGCCAAAAAGCCGGGAATAATCACCGGAGATGTACGAATTTTTGTTTCCAATTGATACTCGTCGTGTAGCTCACATCTAAGTTAGTTTGTGGTGTTAAATTTCATTTTGATAATGTCGTTAACGAGGAAAGGATTCGTGTCATCGGTGACACAAATGTCCAATTTATTTAACAGTAGTTTTCTGATGTTCAACAATGTTCAACCATGATGGCGTCCAGGAACCTTTCAAAGAAATGACTTCAAATTTCCCATTAACACCCCTTGGTTCAAAACTAAAATAACAAAAATAACGAACTCCAAGTAAAATTCAACACGAAAAGTCATTTATCAAATGGCAAAATCAAAAGCTCAAATACATCAAACGAATCCAAAACAACTGTCATATTCCTGACTTGGTACAGACATTTCCTTATGTAGAATGGTGGATTAAACCTGGTTGGTACATTGATATTTGCCCCCGATATCAATCCTTCATATTGTGTCATCTGGAAGATGTTAATCCAAATGCAGATGCTTCGGAATGTTGTTACATGAAACATGAAAAAACGTTAAATTGGAAAATCAAAATCAACTGTTCTATTGTTAAGTTTTTCTCTCAACAAACTCTAATTGTCAATGTTCAGATGAAAAGATAGAATGCAGACATAGCTGTATTTGTCGCATCCTATATTTCAAGCTCAAATGGAAAGATGCGATCAATATAGTCACTAAACTTTGAAGTATTCCATCAGAAGA